GACGATATAAACCGATAAAGAGGTTACTTACTGTTACAGCTTGACTGACAGCATGAGATGCTGACTACCGAAATTCATCTCAATTTTGTCAAAATCACCAATAGTTTTTGGATATCAAACAAAATTGCCTTCTTTGGGGGTAGTCTGAATCTACTAAGTCTCTTTCTTCTTCGTCATCATAGATTTCTTCTTCAGAGTATAAGCTAATATTGCTGCCTTCTCCACTTATTTCAGACTCTGAAATTCTTCTCCTCTGTCACTGTCTTGGCCTTTTCCCAAGTTTCTTTTTCCTATTTTCTTATCTATCATCTTATTCACTTGACTCGGACTACAAAACTTTTCTTTTAGTTCTCATGAGCTCTTGTTGATGTTGTTTTCTGTCGATGGCGTTTCTCTATTTCATCTTTATTTGGCATATCTGCAGCTATCATCGATTCTCGGCCACTTTTTCTGGAAGCAGATTTTGGAATTCCTCGAAAATGAAAGTGATTCGGCCATCTGTACTCCGATGTGGTCGTACTGATGTAAACGTTACGCTCTTTTGGTCAAGCGATACGTCAGATTCGACACTTTTAGTAACCAAGCCTATCGTTGACAATTCTGGAATTGGGTGATCCTTTGGTGTAGAATTGGCAGCATAATCTATAGACATGTCGACATCTGGAATTCTTGTGTTTGTGGGCTTTTCTATTTCAACACTTTCAGAAGTCAGACCTGCAGTTGTTGGTGAAGGGAGTGAACGTTATTGTGGATTAGTTAGATTGAGCCGCTGCATCATAATAGATGGAGAAGTGATTCTTGTGCGGATTCCATCATCAGAATATAAGCTAACATTGCTGCCCCCTCCACTTGTTTCAGATTGTGAAATTCTTCTCCTCTGTTGCTATCTTGGCCTTTTCTCAAGTTTCTTTTTCCTCTTTCTCATCTTCTTTACTAGACTCGGACTGCAAAACTCTTCTTTTAGTTCTCATGACCTCTTGTTGATGTTGTTTTCCGTCGTTGGTATTTCTCTATTTCATCTTTATTTGGCGTATCTGCAGCTATCATCGATTTACCTGTGCAACGTTGTACTCGGCCACTTTTTGTCTTGGGAGTAGATTTTGGAATTCCTCCAAAATGATAGGGATTCGGAAAAGTTTTTGTTTGACCATCTGTACTCTGAAGTGGTCGTGCTGATGTAAACGTTACACTCCTTTGGTCAAGCGATACGTTAGATTCGGTACTTTTGGCAACTAAGCCAATTGAAATTGAATGATCCTTTGGTGTAGAATTGGCAGCATAATATATTGACTTGTCGACATCTTGTATTCTTGTGTTTATGAGCGTTTCTATTTCAACACTCTCATAAGTCAAATCTGCAGTTGATAGTAAAGGGAATGAACGTTATTGTGAATTAGTTTGATTGAGCGGCTGGGTAATATTAGATGGAGAAGTGATTCTTGTGCGAATTTCATCTTCAGAATATAAGTTAATGTTGCTGCCCTCTCCACTTGTTTCAGACTGAAATTCTTCTCCTCTGTCACTGTTTTGGCCTTTTCCCAAGTTTCTTTTTCCTATTTTCTTAACTATCATCTTCTTCACTTGACTCGGACTACAAAACTTTTCTTTTAGTTCTCATGAGCTCTTGTGGATGTTGTTTTCTGTCGATGGCGTTTCTCTATTCCATCTTTATTTGGCATATCTGCAGCTATCATCGATTCTCGGCCACTTTTTCTGGAAGCAGATTTTGGAATTCCTCGAAAATGAAAGTGATTCGGCCATCTGTACTCCGATGTGGTCGTACTGATGTAAACGTTACGCTCTTTTGGTCAAGCGATACGTCAGATTCGACACTTTTAGTAACCAAGCCTATCGTTGACAATTCTGGAATTGGGTGATCCTTTGGTGTAGAATTGGCAGCATAATCTATAGACATGTCGACATCTGGAATTCTTGTGTTTGTGGGCTTTTCTATTTCAACACTTTCAGAAGTCAGACCTGCAGTTGTTGGTGAAGGGAGTGAACGTTATTGTGGATTAGTTAGATTGAGCCGCTGCATCATAATAGATGGAGAAGTGATTCTTGTGCGGATTCCATCATCAGAATATAAGCTAACATTGCTGCCCCCTCCACTTGTTTCAGATTGTGAAATTCTTCTCCTCTGTTGCTATCTTGGCCTTTTCTCAAGTTTCTTTTTCCTCTTTCTCATCTTCTTTACTAGACTCGGACTGCAAAACTCTTCTTTTAGTTCTCATGACCTCTTGTTGATGTTGTTTTCCGTCGTTGGTATTTCTCTATTTCATCTTTATTTGGCGTATCTGCAGCTATCATCGATTTACCTGTGCAATGTTGTACTCGGCCACTTTTTCTTGGGAGTAGATTTTCGAATTCTTCGAAAATGATAGGGATTCGGAAAAGTTTTTGTATGACCATCTGTACTCTGAAGTGGTCGTGCTGATGTAAACGTTACACTCTTTTGGTCAAGCGATACGTCAGATTCAACACTTTTGGCAAGCAAGCCTGTCGTTGATGATTACGAAATTGTGTGATCCTTTAGTGTAGAATTGGCGGCATAATCTATGGACATGTCGACATCTGGTATTCTTGTTTATGGGTCAAACCTATAGTTGATGGTGAAGGGAGTGAACGTTTATGTGGATTAGTTTGATTGAGCGGCTGTGTCATAACAGATGGAGAAGTGATTCTTGTGCGAATTTCATCCTCAGGTAGAGTAACACGTTGCGAAATTTCTATGTTCGTCACTTCACTCAGAACACAGTATTCGTCACTATGTATATGGAAAATATTCCCGTGCTTACTTCTTTCCCCTATCTCTTCCGACTATTAATAATTTTTGCCAACATACATGCATATACGTATGTACACTCACTACTTCCTCTATTAATATTCACCTGAGGAAGTTACACTGTAAGTGTAAGCGAAACACTTTTATAATAAAAATTGTATGAAGGTACAGTGTTTTGTTTCACTTCTACTATGAATCTTAACATTCACCAAGTAAAACCTAATTCCACATTATCATTACTTACCTCTTTAATAAATAATTCCTTATAAGTAGAGCCCAAGTCTGAAACTGTAAGTATGCAGGGAAATAATTGTCTCCCTTCGAATGAGCCCAGTTTCATAGCTTTAAGAACTGACTGAATAAAACCGGAAATGTCACCTTTTTCTTGATAATAATATGCAAGTTTTACAAAAGCCTGACCGACACAGTCAAGAATTTTGGTGTCTACTTCAAGATTATTCTTTTCATAGTAATATTCATTCAAAATGTCTAAAAACTTTTTATGGGCAAGTAGTGAAATATCTTCTGATCGATTAATCGTTTGCCCGTTGAATAGTTCTGACAACTGATCTGTGTTTTCATGAAGTAGAGATTCGTTGTCTTGTAAACATACGGTCAGTTCGTTTGAAATGTCGAACATCAATTGATTGACTTCAATTACTTCCAGTAAATACTCTGATTCTCTATTTACGTTAACACATTCGGCTGGAGAAATAACAATAAAACATTAAAATAAATATCAGTGAGAAATCAAAGGAGTGGACTCAATTGTATCCGAACCACAGTAATTAATGTAGTAACTAAGTGATCTCAGGTTTCTTTGCTTTTTTAACGGACTGTTCACTTAATCTTCGAACTCTTACATTCCTAACCCCGCGATTATGCCACATGCTCTAATGACCCCTATCTACATTTTATGTAATTTCGTTCCATTTTGCTTTAAATATTATGGAAGCGGTACTGGTATGCAAGGGAAGAAGAAATAGGGAAAGAGCGAATGTAAAGATAGGAGACGAAAGATTAGAAGAAGTGGCTAATTTTGGGTATCTAGGAAGTCAGATAAGTCAGGACGGAAGGAGTAGTAGGGATACAAACAGAGGATAGCGCAGGGTTGAGTCGCCTTCAAAAAAAAAGAAGTCACTTCTATGCTCGCAAAAGATTAATTTAGATATTCGAAAAATATTGTTGAAGGTAGTGTATGTTTGGAGCGCGGTGCTGCATGGGTGCGAAACATGGACAGTGGGCGCGGCGGAATGCGGCGAATGATGAGGATACCGTGGATAGAGAAGCTTAGAAATGAAGAGGTAGGTATTAGAAGGAATAGGAGAACAGAGGACTCTATGGAAGTCAATGAAAAAGAGGCGAGATAGGTTGGTAAGACACCTTCTCAGCCATGAAGGTTCAAATCAGAGACATATTAGAGGCAGAAACAGGAGTTAAGAGGAATAGAAGTAGACCCAGATTAGATTACTGTTAGCAAATAGTTAAGGATGTGGGATGTTCTAGTTTTAGGTAAATGCGAAGATTAGTTCAGGACAAGGAGTGGAGGTGCATATCCAAGAAATGTTAGAACTGACGACCTCATGATGATGATAATGCATCTAAAGTATTGACCTGAATAACAAACTAGTTTCACAAGCATTTTTACGTCTAAATCCAGTAATTTTGTAATAGTACATAATGCACCACGTGTCGTTTGCCACCCGAACCAAAGACTCACTTCTGACCCATGTTGTATCATATACTATACCTCTATATAGGATTTATTGTGAAAATTTACTGCTTCAAAATTCTATTTCAATTCAGTAGAATAATATTTCAAACGCAATATGGTAATTTTTTATGCAAAGAAAGTCTTACCTAGTTCCTTCCAAACTTGAACATATTTGGAAACTTTTTCACCTTGGTCCTCCAAAGTTCCAATCCTCCTAAAAGCAAGAGAGGCAAACTGGAGGTACCACCGAATATCGTTCTCCTCCCTTTTGGACACATATTCTGCAACATACTTATACGCCAGATCGGGGTTGTTAAGCTTTGCAAAAAGCTTTATGAAGTTTAAATGGAGATCGTATTTGAATGTTTCCAATTTACAAACCATTGAATTTTGTTCTTCCTCGTCCATTACGATATCTCGAATTTTCTCGAGTAACTTTTCTATAAAATTTTGCCTGTACAAAAGCTTGACTTCGTTTAATATGGCAGAAGGACCGTTTTCGTTAGACTTCCCCCAAACAGAGATCAAATCGTCAACACATTCTTGATAATTCATTATCGACATTTTTTCGATTTTCTTTGTGAAATTGTTTATGTCTACGGCGTTTCTAACGTTTAGAAGCTTATCGATCTTCTGTTGTGTGAATAAACGGTTAATATTCACCCAATTTCCTAAGAAACTGTTAAACTTGCAGCTAATGTATTGTTTTGTGGTATCAAGTTCGTTTGCTATGAGGAACATTATAGCCAATTCTTCTCCAAAATCGGTCTTCAAAACATTCGATTGCAACGGGTCTTTTAATGACATATTAAGACAAGAGACGATGTTATGGTTATCGTTCGAGTGTTCTAGGATTTTGTTGACTTCTGCTTTTATGTACCAGGGCAATAACTTCTTTTGGTAGTTTTCGTTGGTCCAAAGAACTTGCCAGACGTCTGTACTTTCGCTTTCTGCAAAGTCTGCAACCTGTTGAGCCAAAACCTCCCAATGTCCTAAATTAACGAGACATTTGAAGCAAGATTCGTAATAGAATTCTTGCCGTTGATAAGACAAATCAGTTTCGATTGCTGATTTGTAGTATTCCACGGCTTGTTTCCATTGGGAAGTCGATTCTGCAGTAATTGCGTTCACCACGCTTTCATTGCACTTTATTTTGTCTAGAAATATTGATCGAACAACATCCCAATCGCCCATTTCTTTAGCCAATCTAAAACACATGGATCGTGGGGCGATAGTACATCTTTTGAGTTTGCCTCCAAACATAGGATAACTACCTAACTCGTATTTTTAGTCAAAAGAATATCAAAAATACTGAAATTCTGAAAGTTTCAAAACCCCACGTAAATTGATTTATTATAAATTATAAAGGAAAATTTTTTCTCCGCACTGACTACCGATATTTATATAAAAATTGATTATAGAATATCCGCTACGTAGGAGAAATTTTCCTGACTTTCCCTGATCATATTCTCCATGACAAAACTGAAAAAATTATGCGCCTGTTCCTTAGCATTTCATTGTTTGTATTCAATTAATTATATGTTGCACATCAAACATAACATTACTTTCAACAGTTGAATATTATTTGATGGTAAATATCATCTAACTTTGAAATAGCTCATTTATTCTATCACCCTCTATATGTACCTATATAACCAATTGTAAAAATCCGGATAAAATTTTACATCATAAATTTATATATTAAAACGCCAGACTAGATCACGACGAAATATACAGGGTATTTTTGAAATAAGTAGCAAGTTTGCAGGAGGGTACTATAAAACAGGAAATTAAATTCCTACATAAACGTTTGGTTGTTTGAAATTTAATCGTTTTCGTATTTGAAAGTATAGGTATAGTCCATCAGTTCAGACCTGGTAGGATCATGCAAGGAAATACGATAATGCAATGCTGCATTCAATCAACTGGTAATTAACAGCTTTCGTTTTGTATTTTTGTACTCATGCATTCTTTGTTGTTTGTCAGATTAAATTAAGTGTGATTGATGATGTTTATGTTACAGCCACAGCCTAGAGAAGTTTCTTGTTTTTTTAACGGTGTAGGCTTGAATGTATCTAGTCGGTAGAAGTCATTAGTAGTAGGTCAGTGTATCAGTGTCACAAGTCAGTGCAAAGAGCTTGATGAACATTGGCCGCCAGGTAATCCGGATCTAAATTCTCTTAACTTCTCTGTATGGGGTTGTATAAAACAGAGCGCCCGTACCAAATGCTAGTTCAAAATGCTAACGATTTGCATGACTAGCTATTAATGTTTAGGCAGTGAATTTTTCCTATATTTTGTGTTCTTAATACCACGTCAAGGCGTACTTTAAATAGTAGGTATTACATACTACGCATGGTGAGAGGCGGCAACGGCAGAGGGAGAGAAAGGCTGACGACGGCGAAGAGAGGGCAGCGGCTGTATTAGATGGATATAATGCGCAGCCGCACGGAGAGCGGGGAGTCCGCTAGAGTCCCAGCGGCGTGTGCTGTGCTCAGCTGTTGTTTTTTTACCTCTGCTCTACATGTAGCTGGGTATCATTACATCTATTTGCGGACTGTGTAAAAACCAAATCATAATTTGCAGTAAACCTGTGAAAACGAAATGTGTGCTGGGACACATAGTAGAAGTGAAAGTTCAACGGACAAGTGAAAAAACGAATCGCAACAAAATTTTTACTTCAAGTTTTACGGGCAGGTTTTCAAATTGAACAAGTACATTAACAATCTGCCCGTAAAACTTGAAGTAAAAGTTTTGTTGCGATTCGTTTTTCCACTTGTCCGTTGATGTTTCACATCTACTATGTATCCCATCACACATTTCGTTTTTTTTTAAGTTCTTTTGTCTCTTAACCACGCTGCTTTACTCCCTATACAATTCCCTATTGAATTTACTTAACTCCCTCCAAAACTAGCTATTTATTTCAAGCAACACCCTACATTTGTTAAGTTTCCTTGGCACTTTAAGAAAGTGGACATTCTAAAGTACCTACGTTTCTAATAGTATATATATAGCTACTCACTCGGCTATTTTCAACCAGTACTTGCTTTCCTCGCTTTCTTCACCAGGCTTCCTTTTAGAAGATCCTTCGGAAAAATCTAAATGTATCAAATACTCTTCTAATAGTAAACTTCCTATTGAATATAAGCTACTGGATAAAGCCACAGATGAAACAGTTTCTGGTTTTAGTTGAATCAAATTTTTATTCGACAAAGTAAAATCCATTAAAGCACCCACCAAATTGGGTACTAAGCCAGTAGAACTTTCTAGTATTTTGTTTATTTTTGACGACAAATTTGTTGTCAGTGTATTGTCACCTTCCTTGTGATGCATCACAAAATTGTTCAGAATTGAATTAAAAAGTTGTCTGGCTATATATGAGTCAGTCTGAAAATATACATTTTTTTAATTAACCGTTCAAAGTTTGAACAGTATCTTTATTAGATGAAAAGGTCTCAACATTCATTAAAAAAGAATGCGGAACGGTTAGTTACACGGCTCCCGGGTGCATGACTAAAGGGGACAGCATAAGAATACATAATCTTCATAATTCTTAGGTGAAAAAATTGAGTTCTTAGAAACAAACATTTCGAGGGGGTGTCTTTATGTTCACGGAATTGGGGGTAAGAAGTGGAAATAAAAGTACGAATTTATTTTTCCTTTTCAATATATTCATCTGCTACCCTTATACATTTTTCAGATCTTTTAATTAACTTACGTATATCTTCTAAAAGAATTCTTTTTTTTTTGTCTGAAAAGTACGCCGAAACTGCATCCTTCACTTCCTAGTCGCTTAAAAATTACTTCCCACGAAGACTTCTTTTCAAATTTTGAGAACAGGTAATAATCGCTGGGAGCTAAGTCAGGACTGTAGGGTGGGTGAGTCAAAATTTCGAAGCCCACCTTCTGCAGGGCAGCCATCGAAACACGCTTCTTGTGAACAGGCTCGTTGTCGTGCAGAAGGAGGAAACATTTGCTCAATTTTCCTCTTCTTTTTTTTTTGGACTGCTTCCTTTAACCGCTACAGGATGGAAGCATAGTATTTTCCGGTTATGGAAACACCTTTAGACTAACAGAATCCTTTCTGAGTCCCAAAAGACTGTCGCTATGAATTTTGCAGCCGACTGTGAAACTTTAAACTTCTTGGATGGTGGTGTGCCTTTTTTGTGCCACTGCATAGAGTCCTGTTTGGACTCAGGTTCATAATTATGAACCCATGTTTCGTCCCCAGTAACAATTCGAGTCAATACTGCATCTTTATCTTCACTACAGAGGTCCAAAGACGCGCGAGAACACACCACACGCTGTTGTTTTTGAGGCGGAGTGGGCATTCTTGGCAGCCATCTTGCGCTAACTTTAGTCACACCAAGACGATCGTGAAGAATTTTAAAAATGGTTCTATCTGATACTCCTACCATTTCTTTTTCTTATGTCGGGTATCTACCAGTATTAATTTTTTGAATTTCTGAATGATTTACGGTGGTCACCTCGATCGACCGGCCTCGCCATGGGTCGCCTTCAAGTGAGTCTCTGCTTTGCTTAAAGAGAGTATATCACTCGTAAACCATGGTTTTACCCGGGCAAGAGTCCCCATAAACGGATTACATCTCTTCCAGTGTGGTTTGAACTGATTTTTCTTGCTTGGTAAGAAACTTTATAACAGCGCGGTCCTCGATTTTCTCCATATTTCACAATTTGTTCCCGATTGAATTGTTTCGTAGACAATAGTTCAAAAACTACTGACCTAATTACGATAAAACTTGGTATTTATTAGTTGCTTAATTCGTAATTACTGGAGTAAGTAATGATCTACCTACCCATTCCGCGAACATAAAAATCCACCCTCCCACTCAGTACACTCGTCTGCTACGCAACGCTAATGTGCTGTTTTTGGCCAAAAATTCACGCAAAAGCAAATATGTGAACAGAGGCTTTATCATGGTGCAAAAGCCAATTTTTCTTTTTCCACAAATCCGGGCGCTTCTGCCGGATTGCTTCGCGTAAGTTGCGCATAACTGGCGGGTAATATTCCTTATTGGCCGTTCTACCCTGTGGCAAGAACTCACCACACCCCTGCAATTCGCGAAGTCCAACAGCAATATTAATGCGATGCTGTTTTTGGTCGAAATTGAGCAATTTTGGTACAAATCTCGCGGCGACCCGTTTCATGTCCAAATCATTGGTAAAAATCGAATGGCAGAAGACAATTGATGTGTTTAGGTCCTCAGTAACTTCTCCAACGGTGATTCAACGATTGACCAATACTATTTTCTTCACTTCAATACTGTTTTCGTCTGTTGTTGACGTGCTCGGGCGTCCGGAACGCTCTTCGTCGTTCACATCTTTTCGGGCCTCTGATAACATTTTGTTCTACCGATAAACGTTGCCTCGGTCCAAGGTAGCTTCACCATATGCCACAATTAACATTCGGAATCCGTCCGCGCACTTAATTTAGTTTTTCACACAAAATTTGATACAAATTCTTTGATGCATTTTTTGAATGGGCAAAAATCGAAGACGAGTCAAAACACGTGCAAGTAAAACAGCTGTTAAAAATTAACTGAACGTTCAACATGGCCAAACTTGTCGGTATAAGTAACAGACGTGAGTACAAACATAACGCCACAAAAAAATCGAAAATCGAGTATACGTAACCCGCGGAAATTCGAAATTCGCGATACTTTTTGAACAGACTTCGTATGCTCTGCATATAAATCAAGCCGTATTTTTGTTATTTATTTTATACAAAATTTAGGACTGTTTTTTTTTTAAATACTGCTATCATATACAATCTAAAGAAGTTTCACTTCTTACGCGTGTACACTAATACACGCTCACCCCTTGTTTTTAAAAAGTATAACTTTTAATGTTTAGATTTAATAAATAAAAAGTTTATGAAATTTTGCAAACATTACAAATATAGAAAATACCACAAATGCCGCGGTAAACGCCATCTGTAGTACAATGCTACATTTTAGGATTACGTAATACAGACCACTTCGAATTAGTTTATTCGATTATGGTAAAGTGCCTATCACGTTGAGGTTAGCTACGCCGAGATTCGTTTCAGCAAGTAGATATCCATATATATAATAGACCTTGTTGGAACATACGCAATCCTAAAATGTAGCATCCTACTACAGATGGCGTTTACCGCGCCATTTGTGGTATTTTCTAAAACACCCTGCTAAGACAGGTCTGTGTTCTGTCGGAGCTGCCTGCGACGCGCTGATGAGATCCGAAAAGATCGAAATGGCGATCCGCGTCTGACAGTTTCGACAGAATACAGACCACTTCGAATTATTTTATTACAAATACAATTTATTGCTAGGTAAAACTGTATGTTTCTGCCTTTTTATTAGTTTTTCTTATATGGTACGAAACAAAAAAAAAAAATTAAATTATTCTTACCTTCGCTAACGTTTGCATTGGAATAAACAATTCAGACAATCGTATTTGTACGTCCGGGAAATCACCTTTTCTGTAACTCCTATAAATAGAAACATTTTTCTCTCGTTCTTTCACCACATCCTTTCTCTTTTCCATGATCTTTTCATGTTTGAACACCTGATAGTTTGCAGAAATCTTACTGATCATTTCTTTATTACTACAAATTCGTCTTTTGCGAATCGTACTTCTCTTCTGTGCATTAGTATTATTCCCAGAAGAAATCGGCATCCCTGCATCATCAGGATTCAACGAAATAGAAAAACTACTTGAAGATGGACCAGGTTTAGTTTCTTCTGCAGAAATGTTTGTGTTCAGCATTTGAGTTGGAATAAAAGACAGATTAGTTTGGGTTGCTAATAAGACGTCTGAACTTGACATAGCCTGAGACCATTGCGATTGTTGTGACCTTAAAGTGCTAGCGAATAATGGGGCAAAAGAAGTATGTTGGGCTCTCCAGCAGTTAACAATTTTATAATCTTCACGAACGCACTTTTTCAATTCGTGTTGAAACATCTCTTTTGTGAATTCCTTTTGCTTTTGACTCAAACTGATGATGAGAGCACAGCAATAACCCAAAAAATGATCTTCAAGGTCTCCAGGTACAAAAAGTTCACTCAATAGGAATACCAAACGGTCTGTGAGTGTATTGGATGTCTGTAACTCGTTCCAAAATTCGTATATCTTATTTTGGATGTCCTCATTTGGATCCACAAGTCCTTTGAGAAGTATAGATGTACATAATTGGAGAATTTCATGGTCCGAAATTGAATTATACATGTTCATGATAAATTGGTACATGTTCTCGCGACATTGGTCACTGGAACTTTGCACAAACTGAGAAGCTTTCTTGAGTATATTAGGCATTTTATTTAGGTCTATTGTTTGATATACTTTTCCTAACAGTTTCAATGTAAGGATCTGCACTTCGAGGTCCGGACATGTAAGTAGAGCTTCAAAATCTACCAACTTGAAGCCAAATGATGTAGTGGTCAATTCTGGATTGGCCAAAGCAATCTTCAAGACCTGCACTTTAAAAGTAAATGTTTGCTCGACGTTTATCAGATTAATATACTGGTTTATAAAACTGTCGACTACTGAAGGACAATAAGAAGTCATCTTAACTAAAACGTGTAGCAAATTGTTTTTTGGAAGTAGCTTTATATGGTCTTCGACTATTTTTAAGGGTAAGTCGACAATATCAGTAGAATTTTCTTGCAGGTACTTCAATATCATTCCTACAGTTTCAGCCCCTGGTGAGTAAACTTCTTGATAGTCAGATTTTAATTTGGACAAAAAGAGTTTCAAAAAGGAGGACACAGTTCCTGTATCCCACGGTTCCAGACCGTTTACTAAGAAGATTGCTGTTAAATGAATACCGATCACAACATTTATTCTTTCTCTGGCAGATTCCAAGATTTTCAACAGTTCTTTGTGAGGAACCTCGATAATATTCCGCCATTTTTCCACAAAAAGCTTAATGAGGTTGATGTCTTCTTTCATTAATGCCTTTCTTGACGTGTTTACGTTTTGTATGAGTAATATTAACAACTTCTTTGTCAACTCGTTGTCCACAGGAATGGCAATTGGTGACCACGAGAGTAAAACCATAACCTGTGAAATAATATATCCAATGTCCAAATATGAAATGAAAATGAGATATCCAATGTATCAATAGTCGATACCAAATGTTAATTAAAATGTATTTTAATAATGTCTGAGTTTATTAAGTATCACTCGATGTATATATTTGTACGTGGAGGCCTTTCATATGGCATCCTACCTGATCATAGTATCCCACTTTAGATCATTCTCCTTTTTGAAAGTAAGATAAGCAAAACCAAAAATACGTGTTATTAAGTAGGTAAGTCTTTTATTAAGAACACAATTAAATTTTCTAAAATTGCTTTAGATACCCAATTATTTGGTAAGATGATTTCATGTTTGATTTATTATGTTCATACAGGGTTTGTACGGAAAGTAATAGGACTGATTTCCTTCCGCCGCGACTGTACTTCGGAGCGTGCGCGCACCGACTGGATTCGGTAGAGGGCATTCCTAGCTAACGAACGAGCGGCTGGTGAGTTGTCTCCGAACACCTGGAGAGTCAGAAGTCTTTTTCGCGCGACGTGTTTCTGTGAGTGGTGCAAGCCGAAAATGGAGCGTTCGTTAGAGCAGATTATTACGCGATTAAATTCACTGTGAAACTCGGTAAATCTGCGACAGAGACGTTTGATATGATCAAGCAGGCTTACCCAGATGTTGCTTTAGCAAGAAGTGGTGTGTTTCGGTGTCACTAGGCCTTTTCAGAGGGCCAAGAAGAAGTCGCCGATGAAGACCGTGCTGGAAGACCTTCTACTTCGACAAACACCGACAATGTGACTCGTGTGTGCGAAGTTTTGAACTCAGACCGTCGACTAAGTATTCGTTTAATTGCCCAGATATTAAATTTACCAAAATCTGTGGTTCATGACATTGTGACGGAGCATTTGAACATGCGCAAGGTGTGCGCGAAGATGGTCCCAAAAGTGCTCACTGACGACCAGAAATTGCGGCGAGTGGAAGTGTGCCAAGAAAATTTAAACATGTGTGAAAGTGACCCCCAATTTTTGAATAACGTAATCACAGGTGACGAGTCATGGATCTTTGAGTATGATCCCGAAACAACGAGGCAATCTTTCGAGTGGCACACGCCGGCGTCTCCTCGCCCAAAAAAGGGAAGAATGAGCAAATCCAAAGTGAAAACGATGCTCATTGTCTTTTTTGACATGAAAGGCATCGTCCACCATGAATTTGTTCCTCCTGGACAAACCGTCAACGCCAAGTTTTACGTGGAAGTGCTCAAGAGATTCAAACGAATGGTCAATAGGGTCCGACAAGACATCGCAGCCGACTGAAAGTTGCACCACGACAACGCCCCGGCTTACACCGCCTTGTGGTCAGCTATCTGACCAAGGCCGGCAACCCAACGCTTCCGTAGCCGCCCTACAGCCCAGATGTCCCCCCCCCCACCGGGCTTTTTTTGTTTGCTCGCCTGAAAGGCCGATGAAAGGCAAGCATTTGGAGACGACAGAGGGGATCCAAGCAGCATGCACCGCGGCTCTTAAGGCTATTCCGAAGAATGCCTTCCGTGACGCCTTCAATGCTTGGAAATCGCGCTGCATCGACGCAAAAGGAGCCTATTTTGAAAGTTTTTAAAGAATTGTAACGATTGACTCAATAAATGTTTTTAAATCGACTCAGTCCAATTACTTTCCGGACAAGACCTGTTTTATATAACACTTTACGTTATACCATGCATTTTTACACAGTATAGAACATGGGTAAACCTTATTTTTGAACAACTAAGGGTGTCTTAAATAAGATACAATAAAATTGACCAACTTACCAAATCAGCAACGAAATAATTAATTTCTTCACCGGCACGACCATCCACAATAATCTGCATAATGGGTTCTAAAAACCACTTGGCAAGGGGCCTAAAAATGTCCTCAACATTTTCAATTATTTTCAATAAAAACAATTTCAAATTATCTGGGACTTTTTCGTTCAACAAAGTTTTTCTAAAAGCATCTGCCCACTGTGGGAGTTCAACATCCTCTTCATTGATTCCTTCTTCTGGAAGTGGTGAGATATTACTGTCCACCAAATGTCTCAGAAGACCACAAATCGTCACCATACACTCGTGCTCATTAAAATCAAGAGCATCGAATTGAAGAAAATTGTTCCTGGAATCTTCTATGTCTTCTAATAACTCATCGTCCACCTGCGATTGTATAATTGAATGGGTAAAGTCGTATTTAGAAATATCTTCACTTAAAGTACTTTCAAATAGTCTCTGGGATTGCAAGTAATTAAACCCGTCTTTATTGGGACTGTTTTGTTCAGTACTGGATCGTATATTTAAAATTTTCTTCTTCCTGTCGGGCACTTTATCAAAATCGATGCTAAATTTGTATTTCTTTGTCGTATCAATTAATTTAATCCATCGTATATCATCCCCGTCTTTATCCTTTGGGAACAACAACGTGTAATAATCAATGCTGTCTTGGGTATTTGCTATCAATGAAATAGTGGCGTTGTATGAATGGCAATGATACAGACGAAAGAATTCTTTGTAATTGCTATCATCAGAAAAATCTTCTTGCAATTTTTCTTTGCCTGCATCGAGAGAAATTTTGGTGAGTTCTCGAAGCAACTGCTTCCCGTTTTTCCCATCACTAAAGACAGCAGCGTTAATGGGGCAGGTATTGTTGGTCATTTTGTTGACATCAATACGACAAAATAATATTTCAATTGCGATAAAATAAATAGTCCTATCAACAACTTTATTGCACGCAAAATATTGAGGATCATTTTTGGTTTTCAGTTTTTTGTAAATATCGTTGATAATTTCTTCATTAAAACGTTCGAATGCCGGATACAACGAGTACCTTAAGGCCAATGTTAGAATATCACGAATCAAAATGTAGCGATCGTGATTCGAATATTTCGTTGTAGTCGTGCATTCTTTCCACACAAAATTAAGAGCGTTCAATTGGAAGTCGATGTTTTGACCTCTCATGAAATGTTTTATTATTTTCTGTACTGGAATGTCTTTCAGATAATCATGTTCTGTAACGTACAAGTCCAAACAGAAACTTAAAATTGTTAGAGACTTTGAATTTTTAAGGCAATCAAACACTTTTTTTATTATCACTTGAATAGTAGGCTTTACAGAAGACGTTTTGGTAACGAAGTATTTTTTATGTACTGATGACAGAGATGATCTAAAAAAACAAGAACTTACTTGAAATATCTGTATAAGTAAATAGTAAAACATTTTTTTATCTAGTGACGATAAGATGATCATCATCATCATAAGGTCGTCAGTCCTAAGACTGGTTGGAGACGCACCTCTACTCTTTCCTATCCTGACCTAATCTTCGCATTTCCCTAAAACTATAACAGCCCACATCCTTAACTATTTGCGAACAGTAATCTAATCTAGGTCTACCTCTCCTGTTTCTACTTCTAATATGTTTCTGACTGGACCTTCATGCCTGAGAAGGTATCCTACTAACCTATCTCGCCTATTCCTTATTGACTTCCATAGAGTTCTCTGTTCTCCTATTCTTTCTAATACCTCTCCATTTCTAACCTTCTTATCCTCATCATTCGCCTATAACACCACATTTCGAACGCTTCTAACTTTTTCTTTTTCGCCGCGACCAAAGTAAACCAAAAATACTGGTATGCAAGGGAAGAAAACGTAGGGCGAGAGCGAATATAAAGATAGGAGACGAAATTTTCAAAAAGCGAATTCCAAATCGCTTTAACGTGCTGTAGTCATCTGTTGCTGGACGTAAATTGTTCATTTATATGAAAAATTTGGTTTTTGCATAATTATTTCGCTTCTTGACTACACACAAAACGAAATGTGTGCTGGGACACATAGTAGAAGATTGTTAATATACTTGTCCAATTTGAAAACTTGCCTGTAAAACTCAAGTAAAAACTTTGTCCGGTTTTCAAATTGGACAAGTACATTAAGAATTTGCCCGTGAAACTTGAAGTAAAAATTTTGTTGCGATTCGTTTTTCCACTTGTCCGTTGAAGTTTCACTTCTACTATGTGTCCCAGCATACATTTCGTTTTCACAAGTTTATTGCAAATTATGATTTGGTTTTTACACTGACCGCAAATAGAGGCAATGATGCCCAGCCACATGGAGAGCAGAGGTAAGAAAATAACAGCTGAGCACAGCACACGCCGCTGGGACTCTAGCGGACTCCCCGCTCGCCGCGCGGCTGCGCATTATATCCATCTAATGCAGTCGTTGCCCTCTCTGCGCTGCCGCCAACCTTTCTCTCCTTCCGCCGCTGCCACCTTTCACCACGCGATATACCTTTTACCCCCTTCACTTAGAAATTCGAAAAATATTGTTGAAGGTGTATGTATGAAACATGGAAGGTGAGCACGGCAGAAAATAAAAGGATAGAAGCCCTCCAAATGTGGTGTTACAGGCGAATGATGAGGATACCGTGGATAGAGAAGGTTAGAAAGAATAAAAGAACAGACTCCATGGAACTCAATAAGAAATAGGCAAGATAGGTTGGTGTTGGTAAGACACCTTCTCAGGAATGAAGGTCTAGTCAGAGAAATATTAGAGACATAAACAGGAGTTAGGAAGAGTAGAGGTAGACTTAGTTTAGATTACTGTTCACAAATAGTTAAGGATGTGGGATGTTCTAGTTTTAGGAAAATGCGAAGATTAGCGCAGGATAGGAAAGAGTGGAGGTGCGTATCCAACCAGTCTTCGGACTAACACCTTATGATGAGGAATATTAAAAAGATTTAAAAGTCATCCACGATTTACTATTTAATAATTGTACATTAAAAAAAATAGGACTTACAACAAATCAGGTTGTAAATCATCCTGTGGTTCTGTAACACATGGTAGTAACTCAATTATTTGCCCGATGAATTCCAAAGATTGAACGGTATTCCAAGACTGATCAGTGATTGTAAACAAGTCGATTATCAATAAGTATAACTTTTCATTACCATGTCCAATTATTCGTGGAACGTCGGTTAGAGTCATTAATTTACTTATAAAGTCTAAAGCCTTCTTTTTAGAAGCCGAATCGACGTTGAAAAAAGTAGACATGGTGTCTACACTCTCCACCATTTTTGTTATAATTGTTTTCACAATACTCCTTTCCTTACAATATTTTTTAACGTAGGGTATTATTTCCGTGTTAAAATAGTAGATATCTTCAGGTGGATTTTTACACAATATTTCCATAAAATATGAGAAGTTTTGAACGATAACTTTCGACAGAGTATCTTTGAATGTTCTAAAGAACAAAACTCCTTTTTTGGACTTCGTATTAGTACCTTCATAGGTCACCATCTCTTCGGAGACGATACACTTTATAACTAAATGAATTTCATTTTTATTATTCTCAAGTGCCAGTTGTAATTTCATGTCGTAAAATTCGTTTACTGGCTTGATTAACTTGATGAAAATTGGACTGGGACTTGTCTTGACTATTTTGGCAAATAAGTCAGGAATTGTTCGCGAAAAAAGATCACCTAAATTCATTTCTTTAGCAAAATTTGTTTTCTGTAACAACAGCATCCCTTTTAAGGCTAATCTTTGCTGATACGGTACTGACACAGCCTTTAAATCCACTTCATCTTTTAATGTTTGTATTATGTATTCACGAAGCGTATTTTGAATATTTTCTTTCCCAGTGTTTGGTGTTAAATTTGCATTTAGTAAATTTAATAACGTCACCACTTCGTTGCCAAATTCGTCAGCTTTCGTCATTTCTATTCCCAGCACATACGGCATAAACACACAATTTTTGATAAAGTTCCATGTTGATGGTTGCTTCCAAATGTCAATACATTCAATATGATATTTCTTGGATAGAATCGAACTAAACAACGCTACCAGTTTATTGATAATTTGGGATTTCAATGTTTTAAATGTCTGCTTATCAGCGGATGTGACCGTACAATTTTCCTTGAAATTTTCAAGTGTTTTTTCCTGTACATTTGATAAGAAAAACCCAACACTTTCTAAGAACTCTTTGTTTTCAAAAGCGGTTTTTGGGGATAATATGTCATTGTCGATAATAAACTTGTACCCATCGATTGCACACAAGAAGTAGCACATCCATTTGAATATATCGTTCTCAAAACTTTCTGGGCTGAGTGACCGTAAATGATAAGTCTTTAGAATCCAGTTTGAGTCGTCAATAAATTTATTGCAGAATTCTTTCAAATTTCTACAATCTTTTACTTTTGGTGCAATTTTGCAAAACAAATCCATACACTTTTGTCTGCAGTGAGGTGATAATGATCCAGTTTGGGTTAAACTCCAAATTGCCACGTCCTTGAGGGTGTCTCCACCAAAACTGCTCGGGACTATACGATCAGGATTTGAGGAGTTGAAACGATCTGATTTTTCTACTAGACCACGTTTAACATGATCCAAAGCGGAGAATGCTTGCTGTAATAGGCTGTCTTCTAATGAGATGGTTTTGTTCATTAAAGAAAGATTCGTGACTAAAGAATCTAGGATTTCGAACCAATAAATATTAAATATCTCGGAATTTTCACGAAGTTCAGTATAAGTACTGTTAAAGAGGAGAACGGCGCCGGTTCTTTTAAACAAATCGGGATGTCGACTAAAGGTCTTTATTTTACAGATCCAGAATTCGATTCCCATTGATCTTTGGTCTTTTGATTGGCGTTTCGTCCAAGCTAAATACTCCCTAACGCAAATTCCGGCGAAATCTCTCAGAGACGAATTCGAGGTATTAGTAATGGCTTCCTGAAATTAAACAGTTTCTATTGTCATAAGCACAAATAATTCTGTTTAAATAGAGTAAGAAAAAAATATTAAGTTTAAAATTCCTTAAAATATGGAGCAAACGTTGTCCGCTTTCAGTTACAACAAAGACTTAGTTCCAAAGAAATATCGCATTTATAGAAAAGACAGTTTACTAATGAATTGAAGTTGAACATTTTTTCGGACAATCTTCGATTGATTTATTTACTGCGATCATTAAGATCATCAGTCTTGGCTTATTAAGTTAATTGATGATTGTTGTTACTCTATCTGGTAAAGACTTCTCGCTGAGGCAGAGTCACCAAGAAAGAAAACTTCCTTTTCGCCGAACTTGCACTTTGGTCTGTTTGGTAGCGTACCATATCAGTTTAATCGCGTGACACTGTTTGTAAATATTGTTCGTACTTGCACACATACTGTATATTGAAGCGAGTACGCGTGTGTTTGTGTGCGATAGGGCACACGTGTGCGTGAATGGCTTATCGATTCGCCGACTAGCCGCGGGCACCTTTCATCATGTGCTCCGTATTTGTAAATGTGTGTATCGTACCTGCGTTCTGGGAAAGCAGTTAAACAGTTCAAAGAAAAATAAACTATCCGGATGTTTCCAGAAGGTTCCAGAAAGTAAACAAAAGAGTATTTAAAGGAAGAGACGATCGCCGA